AAAAAAAAAAAAAAAAAAGACTTAGAATTCTAGAGTTAGAAAGCCAAGACTGACAAACTTGATTCTGAGAAAAGTTTACCTTGTAGGAAATAAAAATAATGAACAGTAGCAGTGCAACTTAAAATGGCTTATATGGAAGTGCTAGGATAAATTCGTTTTTCCCCCATGTACATAAGCATTTGATCCACCATTATTTATGGAAAAGACTCTCCCCCTTTGCACCCTGTGAAGTCTTTGTCATAAATTATGTTTGTGTGGTTGAGTTTCTGGACCCCATTTTATTCCATTGTTCTATTTACTTTCACACACCCTTAATTATTGAAACTTAATAAGTCTTCATATTTGATAGTGTGCATCTTTCACCTTTGGTCTTCAAGATTGTTTTTACTATTATGCCATTTTGTATTTCCAAATAAATTTTAGAATCAGCCAGTCAATTTTCGCTAAATAACTTACTGGAATTTCTAGGATACATTAAGCCTATACATCAATTTGGAAAACAATGACAACTGCACAATATTGATTCAATCTGCTAACATGATATCGCTTCATTTAATTAAGTTTCAATGTTATTTCAATAATATTTATGGTTTTCTTTGTGGAGTTCTTGCACCTATTTCATTTATGAATACACTTACCTCATTTAAAAAATAATAATAATAAAAACTGCCGTCAAATCAAATTCAACTCATAATGGCCCCTCCTTGGGTTTCCAAGGCGGTATCTCTGTGGATATAGCTTGCCCAGTCTTCCTTTCGAGAAGTGGCTGGTGGGTTTTAACCACCAGGCTTTTGGTTAGCAGTCAAATGCTACGCTAACCTCATACCACACACAAAAAGTTAATTCCCGATGGATTGTAGACATAATTATAAAATAGAAAACAATAAAGTTTAAAAAATCACAGAATTTTCTTGATATTGGGGTATGCAAAGATTTCTCAAACAGGACACACTATTGGATTTAAATAATATTAAAAGTAAGAACTCTTTATATTTTTAAAAAATAAGAGAATGTTAAGACAATCTGTAAAGAGAGAGAGGATATTTGCAAAATAAATATGTCCAATAAAGGATTAATATTCTGAATATATAAAAAAAAACTCTTAAAAATCAGTAAGAACATTTTATTTTTAAATAGGCAAAAGATGTAAACAGGCACTTCACAAAAGATATTAAAATGTCCAATACACATAAGAAAAAGTGCCACATATAATTGTTGCAGCTTAGTGTAAACTAAAACCAAAATGAAATACCAGATGCATGACTACTATAATACAGAAATTGAAAAAAAAAAAAAAAAGAAAGAAAGTAACAGTACCAATTGTAGGCTGCAAGATGCAACAACTGGAACTCTCTCCTATATTAAAGTAAAAGCATAAATGGATATAACCAGTTTGGAAAATTGTAGCATCCACTAAAGCTGAGCATATGCATGTCCTATAACCAAGCAATTAGACTTCTGGCTCTATACCAACCAGCCATAACAGTCCAAAACCAAAACAACCCAAAGGCCCATCAACAGTAGCTAAATTAAAATTCATGTATATTCCCACAACATAATGTTATTCAACAATGAAATTGAATAAACTTTTGCTCCCTGGAGCATCATAGATTAATCTCAGAAAAATAGTGTTGAGGAAATGAAACCAACATAAACAAATACATACTCTTTGATTTCATGAATATCAAGCTCAAAATCAGACAAAGCTAAACTGGTGACAGAAATCAGGGTAGTGATTATCTTTGGAGGGACAATGACTGAATGAAAACATCAAGGAAGATTCAGGGGTGCACTGAATAGTTAATTTGTTGATCTGAATGTTGGTTACACAGATGTTTTCCCTTTTAAGTGTTCTTAGAATGGATATTTGCACACTTTTTTATGTGTATTCTATACTTCAAAAATTTACTTTAAAAAGCTTAATCTATGACTTGAGAATAATGGTAACATACAATTCAACTCACTGTCGTTTCAGTGAGTTGATTCCAACTCATAGCAACTCCCATTGGGTTTCTGTGGTAGTTAAGGTTATGTGTCAACTTGGCTGGGCCTGGTGTTGAGTGGCTGGGCAGCTGGATGTGGTTATTCCCCATGGTGAGACTGGTAATCAACTCCATGGTGCAATCTACTGGAGCAACTAAGTGGCTGCTTTAGGGATATGGTCTGTTTCCAGTATATAAACAGAAACTTGGGGAATGGTCTGAAGCTTTATCGCACACTTGAGCCCTACATGTAGCTGAGTCTTCATTTAACAACCTACCATGTTTCCTAGTGATCTTGGGACTGTCTCTGGACTTGAATTAATGGCTTGTTGTGTTGCTTGGTGATATTGGGATGTGCCTTTCTACTTGTCAATCTTGGGTTTGCCAGCCTCTGCTGTCATCAGCTGCCTGAGTGAAGAGACACTTCTAGCTCCAGTGGACTGGGAGCAAGAGGCAGAGCTGAAGCCCAAAGTCAAGGGGCTTTCACCCAGCCCCTAGAGCTTGGCACTTTGACTTCAGACTTTTAGCCTCCAAAACTGTAAGAGAGTAGGTCCCTGTTGTTAAAGCTATGCACATGTGTTATTTTCTATTAGAGCGGCAAGAAATAACCAAAACACTTTCCAAGCCTGTAAATCTTTACAGAAGCAGCCTGCCTCACCTTTTTCCCACAGAGTGGCTGGTGGGTTTGAGCCATTGACCTTTTGGTTAGCAGCCAAATGCCTTAACTACTACACCACCAGAGATCCTTAATGATAACATAAGGATATAGAAAATAAATGCTGTCAGAGGGGAGAAGTTGATTTCTTTGGAAGAACAACAAAAATAACAACAACAAAAAAAAAATCAGAAAATTAAGAATAAGAAATAGCACAAAGTGAGAATTATTTCAAACATTCTATGAACAGCAGTTTGGTTCATCTCCTTTCTTAAATATTGTGGTCTTAGTTAATCGTGGCCAGAAAAAGAGAGCTGCTTGATTTTCAACCAACGATCAAGTCTCTTTCTATTGAAGAAGCACTTTATCATATTTCATGGCTAGATAAAGACCGAGATCATATAGACTTCATTCAGGTAACATTTTTATTTCCCACTAATACTAACTTCAATATACCCACAAATGATCTTTTTAAAAGTAAAGGTTCAACATGATACTGTCCAGTTTAAAATTCTTTAAGTATTTCTTATTGCCTGTAGGATAAAATCAGAATCCCTTCGAATAATGTGCAAAGTCTTTCCACATTCTGCCTCCTGCCTACCTCTTGACTTTTACCTTCTGTGTCCCATTCATCACATACCCCTTATACTGTAGCTATACTTTGCATTGTTTCTTAATTCTATTCCTTTGTGGATACAATTTACTTTTCTTGAAATGACCTATATTTCCACTTGTTTTCAAACTTCCCTGCTTATTGCTCCTATGGAAACATCCTCACCATGCTGAAGAAGTGTTTATTGATACCTTTTCATTCATTCAGACATCCAGGATTTGTTGTAGATCAGACCACTGTGATTTCATAGGATTTTCAATGTCTGATCTTCGGAAGAAGATTCCTAGGCCTTTCCTTCTAGTCTATCTTAGTCTAGAAGCTCCACTAAAACCTGTTCAGCACCATAGCAACATCCAAGCCCCCAGTGATAGATGGGTGGTGATTGTGCATGAAGTACACATCTTGGTTAGGAACTGAACCCAAGGCCTCCAGCCTGGAGGGCTAAGTTGCCAACACAGTACCAACAGTTACTTGGTTGCTAACTGAAAGTTTGAGTCCATCCAGAGGCACCTTGGAAGAAAAGGCCTGAAGATCTGATTCCGAAAAATTCAGCCACTGAAAACCCTATGGAGCAGAGTTCTACTCTGACACACAGTGGGTTGCCATGAGCTGGAATTGACTTGAGGGCAAAGGTTCTTATTTCTGGATTATTTCTTTTTGAACCCATGTATAAATACTCCATCTGAAATTCCACCCATCTGTAAATGACCACCTTCCTCTCTTTGCTTTCGTAATTCCAATTTTCTCTTTAAATTTTGCTACTAATATATCTCAGAAGATCTTGCTGAATGATAATTTACTTTAAAAATGTAAGAAAAATATTTAAAGTGAACATCAGCATCCCCGAATATTGCTAAAATATTATTTACAGCTTACATATTTGGTGGATTTTTTTTTTTCTAGAACAGAGTCACATTTATAACATATGATTGTGGAAATGATATATTTGAACAGGGTGAAGAGCCCAAAGGCATCTATATAATTATTTCCGGAGTGGTAAAGGTAAGGAAGATTTATTTACAAATATACTTCTGAACATCAGTTTAAAATTGTATAAACTTGAAAATTAATAGCTTTATTCAGTTAGGACAGTAACTATATTTCAAATTGCACTTATCCACATTTTTAGTTATACTTTCTCATAATAATAGACTACCAAAGGATTTTTCTTTCAAGATTGAGAAATCAATATGAATCATTGCATAATTTCTATTTATCTGCACTGGAGGTTTAACGATTCTAAGTGGGTAGAGTTTGGCTAAGTAAGAAGAATTGGGAAGATCAGGGTATTAAAGAGTGCTTTGTTTGTTTTGTTTCTAAGTAATTGCTAATTTAATAAATTTACTTACAAAGGTAGAAGTAATATTTTCAAACAGTGTGTATATATTAGAAATTTTAAAACCAAAAGGAAATAAACTAGATAATTTTAGTAAGACAAGTCAACTGATGTATGTATTTTTCTTTCTTTTTTCTTGAACAGTTTCAAAGTTCAAAGCCAGGTTCAGGTAATGACCAAATACTCAGTGACTCAGAGAAGAAAGATTTTCAAACAACCTACCCAGACTATGTGTTCACTGGGGAAATAATAGGAGAGTTAAACTGCTTAACAAATGAACCCATGCAATATTCTGCCACCTGCAAAACTGTAGTGGAGGTCAGAAAATATCACCCTATATTTTACTATCATTTCTTGTTAAATATCCAGCATCAGATTTATGGTTGCTTCTGCACTTAGTACATATTTATAGTCCAATGAGAATTGACTTTTTAAAAAATAGAAATAATAAAAATGAAGATTTGTTATAGAATTATACTTGTTATAGAATTATACCAGCAAAGATAAAATAGCTTTTGCAAATTAACTTACTATATTGGTTATATGACTTCTTTTTTTAATGGGGAAATTAGATTGGCTATGTAATGTATGAAAACATAATTTATAAGGTATGGAAGAAGGAAAAAGTCAGAGACCTGTTGTTGTTGGTAGGTGTCATAGGGCTGGCTCCTACTCATAACGACTCTGTGTACAACAGAATGAAACACTGTCTGGTCGTGTGCCAGCCTCACGATTCTTGCTATGCCTGAGCCCACCATTGCAGCTACTGTGTCCATCCACCTTGTTGAGGGCCTTCCCCTCTTTTGTTGACCCTCCACTTTGTTGTTGTTGTTGTTGTTATGTGCTGTCAAGTCAGCCCCGATTCACAGCAACCACTACAGAATAGAATTGCCCAACCTTCCTTCCAAGGAGTGGCTGGTGGGTTTGAACCGCCAGCCTCTGGTTAGCAGTCAAATGTCTTAGGCACTATGCTACCAGAGAGACCCTCCACTTTAGCAAACATGATATCCTTTAGGGAATGGCCCCTTCTGACACCATGACCAAAATAGGTGAGACAAAGTCTGGCCATTCTTGCTTCCAAGGAACATTCCAGCTGCACTTCTTCCAAGACAGATTTGTTAGTTCTTTTACCAATCCATGGTACTTTCAGTATTCTTTGCTAACAACACAACTCAAAAGCATCAACAATATCATTAATATCACATGCAAGTAAAATCTTGCTGAAGATAATTGAAAAATGGTTGCAGCAGCATATTGACAGAGAAGTTAAAGAAATGCAAATTGAATTCAGAAGAGGATGTGGAACAAGGGAGATCATTGGTGATGTCAGATGGATCTTGGCAGAAAGCAAAGAATACCAGAAAGATGTTTACTTGTGTTTGACTGACTATGCAAAAGCATCTGATTGTATGGATCATAACAAATTATGGATAACATTGAGAAGAATGTGAATTCCAGAACATCTGATTTTGCTTATCAGGAACCTGAGGAAGCTGTCATCCGAACAGAATAAGGGAATACTGCATAATTTAAAATCAGGAAGGTCATGTGTCAGGGTTGTATCCTTTTACCATACTTATTCAATTTGTATGATGAGTAAATAATCCAAGCAGCTGGACCATATGAAGAAGAAAGTGACATGAGGACTGGAGGAAGACTCATTAAAACCTGTGATATGCAAATGACATAACTTTGCTTGCTGAAAGTGAGGATGACTTGAAGCACTTACTGATAAAGATTAATGACTTCAGTCTGCAGTATGGATTACATCTCAACATAAAGAAAATGAAAATCCTCACAACAAGACTGATAAGCAGCATCACAGTAAATGGAGAAAAGATTGAAGATGTTAAAAATTTCATATTACCTGGTTCCACAATCCACATCAATGGAAACAGCAGTCAAGACATCAGTTTATGTATTGCACTGGGCAAATCTGCTGCGAAAGACCTCTTTAAAGTGCTGAAGAGCAAATATGTCTCCTTGAACACTAAGGTGCACCTAACCCAAGCCCTGGTATTTTCAATCACCTCATATGCATGTGAGAGCTGGACAATGAACAATGAAGACTGAAGAAGAGTTAATGCTCCTGGTCTTGTTTTGACTGAAGATATTGAGCTTCTCCATCACCTCTTTCTGTGAGTGTAGTTGATCTGATTCCTGTGTACTCCATCTGGCAAAACCATGTGTATAGACATCATTTGTGTTATTAAAATGAGGTATTTGCATATTTTCCAGTGATTATTCTTTGTTTCCAACTTTTGCATTCCAGTCACCAGTGATAATCAGTACGTCTTAATTGCATGTTTGGTCAATTTCAGACTGCAGAAGTTGGTAAGAATCTTTAATTTCCTCATCTTTGGCTTTGGTGGTTGGTGCATAAATTTGAATAATAGTAGCATTAACTGGTCTCCCTTGTAAGTGTATGGATATTATCTTATCACTGACAGCTTTGTACTTCAGGAGATGTCTTGAAACATTGTTTGTGATGATGATAGCCACACTATTCCTCTTCAATTTGTCATTCCTGGCATAGTAGATCACATAGCTGTCTGATTAAAAATGGCCAAAATCAGTCCATTTCAGCTCACTGATGCCCAGGATGTTGATCTTGATGCATTCCATTTCATTTTTGACAACTACCAATTTTCCTAGATTCACTTTATATATCCCATGACCCAATTATTGATGGATGTTTGCAGCTGTTTCTTCCCATTTTGAGTCATGTCACATCAGCAAACGGAGGTACCAAATGCTTTACTCCATCCACATCATTAAGTTCAGCTCTCCTCTGAGGAGGCAGCTCTTCTCCAGTCAAATTCTGAATGCCTTCCTACCTGCAGGGCTCATATTCTGGGACTATATCAGACAATGTTTCAGGGTTATTCAGAAAGTTTTCCAGTAATATATCAGACAGTGTTTCACTGTTATTCATAAGGTGTTCACTGACCAATTCTTTGAGAAGTGGATGGTCTCTTCCTTCTTCCAAGTCTGTCTTAGTCTGGAAGCTCCACTGAAACCTGTCCACCATGGGTGACCCTGCTGGTATTTGAAATACCAGTGGCATGGCCTCCAGCCTCACAGCAACACACAAGACACTATAGTATGACAAACTGACAGATGAGTGGTGGAGTCAGAGACTTAGGAATAATTAATGAAAAATTGATTAAAATAGATGGATCTGCCCAACTTGATTGAGGATGAAATCCTTAGAGTACCAGGGATTCCCACTAGCCTAATTTAAACATCAAAAAGCATAATGAATGCAAATAATTGAAGCTCATCATATTCATAAGTTGATGATGATATCCATTTTTTAACTTCCATGGAGGTTACTAGGCTATAAACTTATTACTCTAAAAGCAGATTTTTTAATAAATGGAGATACTTAAACATTTTTTCTTGCCTTTTCTCTTTGAACTTTTTCAAGGTAACAAAAAAAAAAAAAAAGATGAGGGTAAGTTCTCTCTACAGAATTTCAGCTAATAAATGCAGAATAAGAGAATTAGAAAATTTTTGGTTTACCATTGCTAATTAAATAATGTATTGAAGCCATAATAATTAATTGATGCTAAAACTACTAACTGGAATGTTAATGGTAAAATTTATAATGAAGAGAACAGGCTGATACCACCCATCAATCTTAGCATCACTAAAAGTGTGACAGCCAGGCACCATGTGCCACATGATGTGGTGTGTTAGGCTGGGTTCTCTAGAGAAACAAAACCAGTAAAACTTATATAGAAAGAGAAATTTAACTTAGGAAAATGGCACCCATAGTTATAGAAGCTGACAACTCCAAGTTCCTGGATCAAATATCAAACTGGAGTCTTTTCCTGACTCACACAATTGCAGGGACTGATGAGCCCAAAGTTGGCAGGCAGTGTACCAGCTGTTGAGTTGGTGGATGAGAAATCCAAGATCATCAGGAAGAATGGTGATTGTTTGCTCACAGACAGTTGTAAGCAGCACAACAGGATCCAGATCCACAGAAGGTTCTTTCTTTTTCCCAAGATGTATATATATATATATATTAGGAGCTCTGGTAGCATAGTGCCTAAGGCACTTGACTGCTAACCAGAAGGCTGGTGGTTCAAACCCACCAGCCACTCCTTGGAAGGAAGGTTGGGCATTCCTACTTCCGTAGTGATACTGCCTCGGAAACCCAAGGAGGGGTCGCTATGAGTCGGGGCTGACTCGATGGCAAATAACAACAACAACATATATATATATTGGAAGCACACCACACCCCTAGGGAAACACTGTTTCAATGGATTGGCTGCTCAAAACATATACATCTGATCTTATCATGGGCATAACCACATCAGCACTCAGAATCCTGGTCCAGCCAAGTTGACACACAACCCCAACTATCACAATCCACCCCTTGTCAACTTGGCAGTTGTGTGCATCTCCTTAGTATAATCTCTGAATAAGAACAGTTATAAAATTATATTTGCACCTAACATGATACACTAACACACATACAACTAAACATGCATTAACACTATTTACATTTTCTAGTTCATAACTGAAGAAAATAAAAATATTTGATGCACACACACAATGAAGAAATGTAACAATCACAGTCCTCATTTCTGCAATTGGTTACATGGTTGTAGCTGATATTCAAAACTACCTCCTTCCACCACCCATTCCGTATTTCCCTTGCCCTCAGCAAGCCCCTCAGCTGGTCATAGTTCTTTACCTGGTGGGGTGACCCAAATCTTCATTCCTGAAGGGTCTGGGCCATTAGTAGTCATATCAGAATTGGGTAGCTGTAGTTTTCCATTGACTTTAATCACAGGCCATGGTAGTACTAAGAGACATCCTAAAGAATCTCCTGTATTTCAGACATATTCTCTAAGTTTCTGTCTGTACATGTTAGTAAAATCAAGTAGATCTCTTTGGTCATAGTGTATCACTTCTTTGGTCACACTTTGTATTTCACCTTTTAGGGCTCACTTGGACTTAAGTTTGGTTATAGGTCTATCAGCATCAATGGGTTGTTGGGCCAGTTCCTGAGAACATTCATCAATGTCTTACATGGCATCTACCATGCCATGTAAGGTGGAAGGGATGATGGTTTTACATTAATCTCTTCAGATGTGAGAGATGACGTTGTTGGCAGGAGGGATACAACAGAATTTACAGGCTCCATGTCCTCATTTTCCTGACTGTCTGCCCATATGTCTCCATCCCAGGTTTCAGGATCCCATTTTTTCCAAATCAGTGCCCTCTCCTTAACTTCAGACTCCATTCTGGGTTGGCAATTCAATTGGCATTGTAATTCAGCCACCCTTACAATAAGACTCTGG